GAGACAAGCGCTTCGGTTACTTGCGAAGTTATCTGCTGCCACTCATTTTCCAACAAAGGGCGTAACTGCTTTTCACTTTGCACTGCACTTTGTTGCAACATAAAATCTAGATGACCCCATATTTGCTCCAACGGATTTAGATCATTCGACTGTGATGGCGTATACAATACTTTGCCCACTTTGTAGAGCAGCCAATCGCGCACCACACCTGTTCTGTATTTGCAGTCATTATCCTGCTGGAATATATAACCGCCAGACGGTAAGTCCAGCTTGGAGGCGCTTGCTATCACATTTTCCTGTAGTATTTTTAAATATTTCTCGCGATTCATTTGCGTATCGCAGATAACCAATCGGCCAACACCCTTAGCAGACATACAACCCCATAGTGTTATCAGGTTATCAGATTGTTTTGAGGCAAACAAAGGATTCATAGCATCCGACTCAGTGCTGACACGACGCCACTGCGTCACATGTTGCGCGCTTTGGTATGCTTGAAATTGGCACTCACTCGAGAAGATCACCTTGCGCCAATAGTTGAGATCGTGTTGCAAGTGTAACTTAGCGAATTCCACACGTTTGCGATGGATCAGTGGACCAATGTAGCCAGCGGAGTAGAGCACACGACGTATAGTCTCGGTGTTGCACAATTTGCCCGTTTCACATTCCACCTCCTCTTGTAGTTTGAGTGCGCTCATTTTGGCATTCTGCTGCACTTTCTGCAATATCAAATGATGTTCGGCTTCATCGAATTTACGCGGGCGTCCAGAGCGTGCCTTATTTCTAATACTACCCGAGTCACGATAACGTTCTATCACTTTTTGCACCGTAGCTGGACATTTGTGCACTAAACGCGCAATAACACGCACCGACTTCTTGTCTTTGTAATACTGGATAATCTGAGCTTTCAATTCACTAGAAAGTTCGGCGCCACGCGGACCCATGTGAATTGTATAACCTAACGTTTCGAAAATAACTTAAATGCTTAATATTTCAATGTTTTTTCTAAAAGATATTCACTGCCTGCAATTGTGCAAACAAATTATTAATGTTATGGTTACGTCTTGCCAGAACAAGTGTTAACTGTATACTACTTTTGTTGACGCATACTCTCAAGCCACTCCCAAACTCGGCTCACCAACACCAATGCAGCCGCGCTCAGCAATGAAAAAGCCAAATTTTAACGGACTTTTTCTTAAGCAGATCTCAAATGTCGCTTGCTTTTATTACTCATACAACATAACACAGTAGTACTAGGTGAGTGAGAGCACAGCAAGTAAGTGTAAACTCTTCAACAACCGATTCTTTCCAATTTAATTGACACTTTTTGCAGAAGAGCCATTTTAAAAGGGTGTGTACTTTATCAATAATTGACCTGGTGCAGGCATTACTACTAGCAAGCAAATATTAACTAACCAAGCAGCTAATTGAGGGTTCAGCCAGGTCGGCAGAGTTCGTCACTCCCTTGGCTTAAGTAGCAGTTAATTGTGACGGCGAGAGCGTAATATATTAGTATACTAAGTCTCTCAGCATGAATAAAAAGCTATGTAGAGAGCGTGGCATAAAATGAATGTTTTAGTAAAAGTTTGAACGGCAAGACAAATAATGTCGCATGCATATAAGCTTAACCAATAACAACACTTTCTGAGAATAATATTCGTACCAAAGTTTAACAAGGTGTAAAATATTGGTACACGTTTTCGTTATAAATTGTTAAAAAGTGAGAAATTCTTTCTCCGGTAGTAAATGTACATATTACACCTTGGTTTTTCTGTCCTAAAAAATTAATGAAACGTTTGATAAAATTAAAAAAAAAACCAAAAAAAGCCAAGTACTCAAAAGGTCACATTATATATTTTTAGTATTTAAGTAGGCAAAAATACTACATTGAGATAAACTGTTTAGTTAATTTTTTTTTTAAATTTGGTTCAATACTCTAGAAGCCATATAACTTTAATTAAGTTTCTTTCGAAATTTTTCGCTATACATTATATAAAACAATGCTCCATAGAATATTATATGGAACTGCTGAACAGAAAGTATGTCTAAAATCGTTCCTTTGCAGATCTTTCATAGTAATGTACAAAATAAATCATAAACGCAAGTAGTTAGTTTTTTTTTATATCTTCCACCAGAATCTATGATCAGAACCATGCTACATCATCGAAAGCATTACTTCCATATTGAAATATTATATTAGTCTCCAAACATGGTGATAAACGCAACACATTTTTATACAACAATATACTTGTAGCACATACTCGTATGTATATAGAAATATATTCATGAAACAGGATTATCGGTGAATTTTAAATATTTTTTGACTGCTTACTTTCTTTAAGATTTTAATATTGGTTCGTATAGTATTATTGCGTACTGTATGCAGGTATGCTATTGCGCGTCATTGCTTACCGCTGCATAATCTTATAAAAAGGTGTTGAGAACCGGTTTTGACGTTGCAAACGCTGTTGCACCGCCACTCACTCACGCATATGTATGTACACATTGTGTTTTAATGTGTGCGGGCAGAAATTGGTGTTGTGGCCGAATAACAAAAGCACGTTGTGACCCGCTTTTTGAAATTGACGTGCTGGTAAAACGAGAAAAGTGCAAAAAAGAATGAACAGGTTAATATACTTTTCTCTTTTTTTTATATTCACTTCATGCCATTTGTTGTGCTTTCCATTTTCTTATAGATGCTTGTGCAAGGTTGAAATTTTTTTTTAAATTTTATTTCTTGTTTCTTCTTATTCCGTTTTGTTTGTTATTCACATTGAAGCTGGAAAATGTTAAGTTTAAATTAGCGAAACGACGAGAGAAATTACGAATGCAAGCAAAAGCATTCATAATTAAACGGAAAATTACTTTTAAATTATTTATGTTTTCACTCATTTGAGTGAAATTTTGATGTGTTACTCGAAATTGAGGCAGCATAATAGTTATAGTTTGCAATTAATTTTTGTTAATGTTTTTTACATATTTAACTGAAAATTAATTAAAATTAAAATAATTTCTTTTTCTCTTTTTATTTTAATTTTGATTTCCAAGGCTATTTTTAGCGGTTAATAGACTTATTTAATTTTAATAACAAATAAATTGTATTTAATATTTTAATTGTCTATCACAAGCACATGTTTTTTCCTACAAATACGTCAAAGTTTTTTTCTGTCAAAAGTGAAAAAGTGCAAAGAAAAAATGGCATCGAAAGTGTTGCAATTTGAAGTAATTGCTACGCATTTAAAATTTCAAGTTCAGCTGGTTTGCAGATAAACAATACCATGCGAATTACGAAAGTTTGAACAGGTGTAGAGGCGTTGCCAAAGCTATTTCCGACAGTTGAAATTTGTATTTCATATTTGTATCAGTTAATAAGATAATAGTAAGGCATAAATTGCAATCTAAGTATGTAAACAAGAAAATATGAAAGAATACTGCATAGACAGCGCTGCCACATTGCTAAAAATATTGTAATTTGAAAATAATAATAAGTGAATAATTCCATAACAAGAAAACCGTAATAAACAGACATTTTGAGATATTTTGCGACATATTTTATTCGATTGTCGCCGTTCCTAAAACACATGGATTCCTTCATTGACTCTATTAGAAGATATTTTTTGTTTTATTTTGTTCTGATTGCCTTTGAAGGTCTAGTAAAAATTTTATGTAATGACAACTTTAACTAAGCTTACAAAGCTTTTAACGAGCGACACCGAATATTATTCTAACTCGGCAGCAGCTGATATCAATAGAACTGGATAAAGAAAAAAAAAATTTGACGCGTGTGTGGAGTGTACCTTGAGAGCTGCACTTTGATTTTAAAAATACTGATTATTCTAGGCGTTGAAAGACAACTTGGGAGATCTGAACCATATATTAGGTGTAGTAAAAAGAACTCCATTATTTTTTCAATAGATGGCGTTATTTATCTGTATCTCGCGTTGTATAAGTCCGATCGGGTTCGACTAGATGGCGTTAAAAGAATGACATTTCGTACTAAAAAAGCTTTCCTGACACTAACACAGAGAAAAAGCTATATGTTACAGTTTTCTTCGATAAGGGTGAAAAAGCAAGCCAGGCGGCTGAAAATATGAATAGCGTTTATAGTCCTGATACTGTACTACCGTTCCGGTAGTTTCGATGTCAAAGATGCATCACGCTCTAGAAGACCAATTATCGAAAAAATCGATCAAATAATGGCAATCGCCGAGTCCAAACATCGATTACGATTGTCCAGGACCTTAACGTTGCACAAAAAACCGTTTGGAATCATTTGAATAAGGCTGGATATGAAATGTAATAATTAAACATTCAACTTGCGAATTTATAAAATCTAGATCTCACACGCTTGATCGGCACCATTTTTTAGGATTTATCTTAAGTGGATCAATATGAATTCGCGAACATAACCACCACGATGCATTTAAATTAGTTTTATGTAAAAAATATATATGCATGTTCATAAAAAAACTTAAAAAATTTTCAGGTTATTTTTTAGACTTGGCAAAGCTCAAAAGAAAGTAAACGACAACCCTTTTGCAAATAAATGCTGATTGTTTTGTGAGAACTTTTGCACAATCAAAACAAAATTAAGTGGGCGTTTCTTTACAATTGCATAAAATTTCCATGAACAGTTAGTGTAATTAAAAAATCAAAGTCGGGGACAACAGGATATACACACCACAATCAAGCTAATGAGAAGGACTTTATTGCTATTGTTGGCTATATACATATTTGTAGGTCTAAACGTGGTCAAGGAGTTCGCGTCACGGTGAAGTGCTGTCGTGTCTGGTACACGTGCAGCTATTGCCAGGCCTCGACATGCGTGTGCATTTTTGCCATCGCTGGGCGGGCGGGCGTGTTGCGAACGGCATCTATTGCAAAATATCGTAACGTCCACACAATAGCCAGGTATCAATTGCACATATTATTGAATTTAAAGCGAAAAATATCAGTAGTAAATACTAAATATGTATATATTGAATGGATGACTGACTGGCAGCAGGCAGTTAAGTTTATAATGATTTTATTCTCAGATCGTTTGTACGTACACCAATGGGGAGTAACGACTTTGAATACTTTTCACCGCAGTTTTTAGTGTGCGTTTTTTTCTTTTTGTTGTTGTAATATATAATTTTCTTTTTTTGCGACATACATAGACATCTGACGTCTGGGTAATAACTATATCTATTGCCAAAGTTTGCATGTTCTATGAAAGGAAAACTTAATAGACGCGTTTAGTTTGTTCGCAGAAACCGAGAGTTGCAGTTGAGAACGAAGCGTCCCGGCGAAGTTGAAAAGTGCATTTCGAAACAAGTTCTTTTTAAACGCCTTTCTTTAAATAACTGAGTTTAGTGCGAACAGAAACCATGAAAGTGGAGAGGCATAAACTTTTGATCGCCTCTGTGGCGGCGCTGCTGTTTGGCGTGATTTTTGGTTGGGTTGGCTTTCCGAAAATACTCAAAATGATGATAAAAAAGGTGCACATGAAATAAAAATATCATGCAGTTGATTATAAGTCCACAAAAATAATTTTAATGCGAAGAAATTTTATGAAGTAAATTAAAAAAAAAAACTAATAAGAAAACAAAAATTGTTCTAAATGAAGTACAAAAACTCAAGAAATAAAACATAAAAATTAAAAGAACTTAAAGTAAGATTTATAAATATAAAGAAAATAGATCATTTGATCATAATATTTAAAACAACAAAATCAATAAAAGCACCAAACACTTGAACCAGTATTAAAAAAATAATAATTTGAAATAAATAAAACAAAATTTAATATATTAAGACAATTGTCTGATGTACGTTAATTAGTATACGAAAGAAACGACAAAACTTTTGCGAAGCTTTTAAGTTTTGGTGATCTAAGTAACCCAGTAAAGAATGTATAGTTGGATGTATGAGAATTTGGACTAAGAGCAACCAATTAAATTAAATAATTAAAATATTTTTTTGTATAAATTATTCGACTGTATTTCACTATATTTTTCAGTAAAAAGGATCACTTCTTGCAAATCATTATGGGCAGTTTGAGGTTTTATTTCTTTATGGTTTAAGTAAATACAAATATTAAAAAAAAAAATTTATTTCACAGCATAATTAAACATTTGAAATGCAACTACAACCACAGGACCAAATATTTAATAAAACGATAAAAAACAATCAAATAAGTTATAAACCCTAAATAAAAATATACAAATAAAATATAAAAAAATATTAATAAAAATAGAAAATTTGTAAAAATTTTAAAACGATTTTAAAAATATAAACATTGATTACTTTTATTATTGCACAAAGTTAATAACCAATTTTTAATTTCATCAAAGCAAGTTTCACTTAAGCCGGGCACCGAAATACGCGATCTCTGGACACAGACGCCATTTCCACTACATTTCTATATATATGTATTCAACATCACCAATCCGGATGAGGTGATGAAGGGCGAAAAGCCCAATTTACAAGAAATCGGACCATTTGTTTTCGAGTGAGTTTTAATAAAAACCATATTTGAAAGAAAAAATTTAAATATGCAACTTGAAGCAGAAATGCATATTAAAAATATGCTTTATGAATTTTATATTGATAGTGAATGGAAGGATAAATATGATCTGGTCGACGATCCCTTGGAAGATTCGATCTCATTCACTATGCGCAACACATTTTATTTCAATGAAAAGAACTCAAAAGGACTAACCGGTGAAGAGCTCATAACTATTCCACATCCATTGCTTGTGGTGAGTTGAGAGAGACAGTTGAAAAGGTGAAGTTTTAAGAAATTACGACAGTAATTTTGATAAAATTGAAATTTAATTAAATGAATTATGAAAATGAGAGTTGTGATTTTAGATTTTTTTTTCATATTTCACACGCTGTTGTGTCCGGTTATTGTTCTACGAACGTCTTATTGAATTATATGGGAAATGTTGTAATTTGCAAATTCATTCATTTATTTGCCATTGATGAGATAATTTTTAACTACAAGCACACATTTTTACATTTTTAAACAATATAGTTGTTTAGTTTTAGCCACTATTAGCACATATAGAGTATGCCAGAATGCCACATAGTTATTGTTAAAACTGTTATAAAATATGAAACAAATGCATGTGACAATTTTTTTACTGTGGTAATATGTTAAAATAACTTTAATCGATGAACTATATATCTATCTATCCAATTTTTTTATTTTTATGTAGCAAACTTTTCGGATTCGCGTAAAATATTTATTTATTTCTTTCGAACAATATCATTATCGCTTTTATTTTAATATATTTAAATTTTATGAACTCGTGGCTTCTGAATACAATCTACTGGCCTAGAGATGCGTTTTTCTACGTTTATTTTTCTATTTTTAACGTTTTTAAAGCTTTGTGCATAATAAATGAAATGCTTTTAAATTAATAACTACTAATTAATAATTTAGAATGACAATTGGTTATAAGCGAGAGCAGACGGATATTGAAATAAACTGTTAGATTTGGCATTCAATGTGTGTGAATACTACAATATGTTCAAATTTGTAATTTTTATTTTTATACATGATTCAAATAATAAGGTTTTGTTACTTGACATAACCTTTTTCATGTTTTTCTCATTAATTTCATGTCTATATTTGATAATTTTGCATGATAAGGAAGAAGAAGAATGCAAAAATTGGCAAGTTACGCACACAAAGAACAAATTTTCTGCCAGCAGAAATTTAACTAGCAAAAGCCAGCAGCTCTCTCTATTCTTACGCTTTCACCTTATGCTCTACTCTATTAGTTTTTTTTATATTTTTTTGGTTAAAAAACGCTTTTCCCGCAGATACTTGACTAGCTGGTGATAATTAGCCGTTCAAAAACAAACCTTTGTATTTACAATCTATTCGTACTCAGTTATTACTTAAAAAAAAGCAAAACAGCTGATTTTGACATTATGTTGACAATTTGTTGTTTTTGTGCTTATAATTAATTCTTATTCATTTGGATATGAATTTTAAATAATATAAAAATCTTTATTTTATTCAAAGTAATTTCTTAAATTTTTCGCTCAACGTCTTTACAGCCTATCTCCGTGGTTGTACAGCGCGAACGTGCCGCCATGTTGGATCTAGTCGCCAAAGCTATAAATATTGTGTTCGCTGGGCAGAAAGCGGTAATCACAGCTAAATTTATGGATGTATTCTTTCGTGGACTTTACGTGGACTGTTCGTCACCGGAATTTGCTGCTAAAGCGCTCTGCACGGCTTTCTACACGGGTGAGGTGAGGCAAGCGAGACAAGTGAATTCAACACATTTTCTATTCTCGTTTCTGGCCAATGTGAGTATAAGCAAAAGTGATCAAATTGTATGTGAATAAGAGAATATCTCAATAGTATTTCATATGATAAGTTGTCTTGATGACGTCACAATAGCGCTGGTCTGCAACATATGACTGCAGATTAAATTAAAAGCAAGCAATGTATATTTCAAAAGTTTTATAATAGAAAAGTGGTTGTTCAGAATTTTTTGTTTAAACAAAATAATTATTTAATATTTTCAATCATTTAAATTTCTTCTTCAGAACAACCACACCGACGGTGGTCGCTTTACCGTCTGTCGTGGCGTTAAGAATGTAAGCAAGCTTGGCAAAGTCATACGATTTGGTGATGAGCCCACATTGGATATATGGGGCGGCGAAGAGTGTAACGAATTTATCGGTACCGATTCAACGATTTTTGCACCGTTCATGACAAAAGAACAAGGCTTGTGGGCCTTCACGCCCGATTTATGTCGCTCCTTTGGCGCAGTCTACAAACGGAAGTCCTCATATCATGGCATGCCAGCAATGCGATATCACATGGATTTGGGTGACATAAAGGTACTATTTGAGTGAAATATTTAACATGAACAGTATTGTAGCGCTTTGATTGATCTACAGGCGGATCCGAGTTTGCATTGCTTCTGCGACGATCCGGAAGATATTGAATCTTGTCCACCCAAAGGTACGATGAATTTAGAACCTTGTGTTGGTGGTCCAATTATAGCATCAATGCCACACTTTTATAATGCGGATCCCAAACTGCTGGAAGAGGTGAACGGTTTAAGTCCGAATGAGAAGGATCATGCAGTTTTCATTGATTTTGAATTGGTGATATTTTAGCGCTTAGTGGAAGTATTCATATTTTCACTGACAATATTTTTCATTCATTCAGACCTCTGGTACGCCTTTTCAAGCTGCCAAACGTTTGCAGTTTAACATGGACATGGAACCTGTTGAGAAAATTGAACCCACCAAGGATTTGCGTAAAATGATTTTTCCACTCTTTTGGATTGAAGAGGGCGTGGCATTGAATAAAACCTTTACAAACATGCTAAAATATACGTTATTCCTGTAAGTTATGAAATTGTTGTACCATGTAAATAGTATACTTTATACACGATTATTTTCAGCGGTCTAAAATTCAACTCTGCGCTGCGTTGGTCGCTCATAACCATGGCTTTGGTGGGTCTCATGTCCACCTGTTACTTGTATTATAAGAAGAGTGATAGCTTAGATATCACTGTGCCACCGAAAGCCATAAAAGAGCGCACCAGTAAAGTGGAGGATGTAAAGCCATTGCCACCCGCGGATAAAAAGCCTATACCACCCATCGCACAGGCTGATCTCTCGAACCGTCGCGATACAACGAATAGGTTTTAGGTCTATTGATTAAACAATTGTAATCTTTTTTTATAATAAGCACATTACATTCACAATACTCTATCTGGAAATAATGATCTTTTCACACATACAATATATATAAAATAAAGTAGTAATATTTTTGGTTTAGTCACCAAATATGATGTACTCGTTCACTTACAGTGATATAAAATATATACGATAACATGTATAGGGAATGAGATACAAATGGGAGAATAGGTTTAAGAACATTAGGGGTACTCAGACCGAACATGTTAATCTGGTAATTTGTTGGTTGATTCTTCGTTAAAACACTTAAATGTGTATATACTTTTTGCTCTAACTCAGTAGCGTGGTATATTTAATACTTATTTTTTAAAAATTTGTCTAAAATTATTTTGTAGCGAGCAGAAATTGTATGTTTTCGCAATGAATCAAATGAACATTTTAGGCATTTAGGACGCAAAAGAAACTACTGATTTGATGTTACCATGTAACGAAAAAATTGTTAAGGATATATTAGAATAAATTTTTAAAATTAAAGGCATATAAAGTTAGGTTAGGTGAAGAGAACTACCATTTTAGCGACGGGACAAAAAGGCGAGAATGCTTTTCTTTGAGGGCAGAGTATGTTACCGTTAATTTTAGCATAGAGTTATAGTATAAAAGAAAGGTGGGTTTGTTATAAAGAGAGTTGAGCGAAGAAGGAAGAAAGGAGATGACCACAAGCGACCGTATATCATAAAATTTTGTTAAGCAAATAAAACGCGAACTAATAAATTTCGATGAGGTTGGGATATAAGATGCTTTGGAAGACGATAACTCCTCTCTGCCTCTAATGCTTCAAGCTAAGCTTAAAGGCATTACTGAATATGACTCAGTCAATAGTTGTCACGTTTTAGACATCTTTTCGCTTGAATTGAGGAAGCTTGGCTGTCACTAGAAATCTGTTTACTTTTCCTCTCTGCGGAAGCGTTCACGATCCTTTTTTTAAAGTTTGGGCTTTGCCTGGCATTTAGAATTAGAACTTTAACATTGATAAAAAAAATGCTCTTTTCGTAATTGTGGAATAAGGCAGTTTTCCAACCCGCTAATTTTTCTCTGGTTAAGCTTCAGATTTCTTCAATGGCAGTAGTCCCCTATTAACACTATGTTTACGGGACCCGCCAATTTGACGGAATTGAAACTTTGCAATCGATTTCAACCGTTTTGCATCGTAAATTAATCATTTCTTCTAAATAATTTATGCACACAGTTCACTTAAAAAAATTTCGACTTATTAATATTTTACTTTTATGTGAAGCCTTATATTGTTAAACTCAGATTTAGTTTGAATAAATTGATTTTTTTTTATAAATACGTATTGTATTTTCATTAATACGTATAAGAAACGCCCGTAAACCTAGTGTTAAGAAATGCTACCAACATCGGACAGCAATTCTACTAAAAATTTTCAGTATATCAGTTGGAAATCGCTGAGAATCGAGATACAATAAAAAACATATAAATAGATAATGCTTTCTCAATAGAAATTTCCAGTTCAAAGCAACAACTTTCAAGTCATGCAAATTAGTACTGTTATATAATCCCTTTTTAGCTTCAGCTTCTGCAAATAATTTTCATCATCGCGAGGCGCTATAAAACATCAGTTATTTCAATGGCAAAGGCACTAAGTATAGGCGTAGTTTTTATTAGTTTTTATTCAATAGAAAAAATTTGCATATAACGAGTTGCAATTAGTAACAACATTCATGCAATTACATGCACAGTATGATCTTAATATTCTATTGTTTTTTTTCCTGTTTTTTTATGTGCGGATAATCTCACTTTGATCTTTGTTTTGATATATGCGGATCTGTGTTTTCTGTCGACTTGAATGATGTCATCTTTCTTTCATTGTTGCCATGTAATTTGTCGTGTTTTCGTTGGTTCAGTTGTTTTTTTTTTATCGCAAGCGAAACGATTCTTGGCGAACGTGTTATATTTTGAATGAAATTTTGAATGACAGCCCATTTGCAGGTGTTTAGCGAGAACGCAAATCGGCACAAATAGGAAAATGGAACACGAAATGCAGACGAAATGTGGATTTTGAGTGTGGCAAGTCTCAAGGATTGCAAGGAAACTCTCTTATGCTAAGTTAAATATATGGTGTTTTGATAAAATTTGAGTTGGTGATAAAATTTCCATACGATAGTTTTTGTTTCATCGAACTTCGAAAATTGCATAAATATCGCTGCTATTATTCTTTTATAGACCTTGCATAAATCTTCAACTGAAAATATTTGGTAGATAAAATATAATCATCGTATATCTCATAAACGAGTTTTAACTTGACAATATCACCTTCCAAAATAAACATGTAATCACTTTTCTACTGGCTCGCTTCAAATTCTCGTTTAACAATTTACATGCCTATATAATTAGCTTGAAACACCGTGCATGCATGTAATTCTTTTGAAGGTGAAAAATGGCAAAATTTTCAGTTTCTCTTCGTGAATTTCTGCTTTTACATTTTTCAATTAGCTGTAAGCATTTCCCTACCTCTCATGGCGTCTATAAATAACTTGGTATAAGTCAACTGTGACAAATTTGCATTATTCAATGAAAGTGAAAAAGGCGAAGAGAGAATAAAATTTGAATTTCAAGCAGCTGCAGGTTTTTCTTTAGTACTGCTATACTAATTTAGCTCGCATAGTATATATACAAGGTTATTTGAATTTTTATAGATATGTTATTTAACTACTTGTTATTATACCCTGAACAAGGTATATTAAGTTTGCTACGAAGTTGTATATGTATATATGTAAATGATCAGCGTGATGAGCTGAATCTGTCTGTCCGTCTAACAGTCTGTTTTTTCGTCTGTATATACGCGAACTAGTCCCTAAGTTTTTAAGCTATCGATCTGATATTTTGCACACGTACTTTTCTGCCCAAGACGCTGCTCATTTGTCGGAATGTCCGATAGCGGACCACTTTAGCATACAGCTGCCACACAAACTGAATAATCAAAATCAAGTTCTTATAGAGAAGACTCATTTATTTGATAAGATATCAACGGTGCAATCTCCAAATGAACTGTCAGATCGGATCACTATAGCATCTATCAGCCATACAAACTGATCGAGTAAAGTCAAGATAAATATCTTTTCTACCCTTTTAAGCTATAAAAATGCAGCCGTGAAGAATATTATAGGTTGGGTGCAGCTGAAGTTACCGTTATTTTTAAATTTTTCTGTAGTTTTTAGTTTTAGTAGTTAAATCATGAGTAAGCCATACCTGAGAGCTTTTCACCATTCCTAAGAATTTTATTTTTTTTTTTCAATATATAATCAAATTTATTTTAAGATGTCAACACAGTCCAAACAAAAATAATCAATTGAAATAATTTAAAAATTTTTTGGCATAATGCATATTATTTTCAGATTTTTTTACTTCGAAATTTCAACAATTTTATCGTAACTTTGCTTTTTTCGTTTAAAGCGCCTAAATGTAGACCCCAAGTGTTAACATTTTATATTTAATTATTGGAATACGCTAAAAATTTTGTTTCCAGTTTTTAGGGGTGGAAGAATAAAGCTTGTTTTTCAAAAATATATAATAAAATATATAAATATAATAGCTTATAATTACTATTAAATGAAATATTAGAGGTCTGAGTTATTCCCGAAAATTATAATTAATTTCAATTTGAAACCTTAATGCCTTTCATTTCTGTAAATATTAGCATTTGGCAATATTTTAACATAACAAGTGGAAATTTCCACTACAAACGTCATTAAATAAACACAAATTTCCGATTACAAAATTTTCGCTACAAAACTGTGCCAAATCTAGGTGATAAAGGGGATAAGAAGAAAACATATAAAAGAATTTTATAAAAGCATTAAAGAGTGATAGATGACGGGAGAAGTGGTGTGACTGTTTACAAAGATATTTTCTAACTAAATACATATGCATACATATGAGTCTAACATACTTAAAAAGAAGGGGACTGCAGAAAAAATAAACAAAAAACTATATAAGTAAGTGTAAACGATTTTTAATTTTGTTTTTCATTTACTTTTTTACAAAGCAACTAAATATATAACTACATATATATCACACATTTACATATATGATTTATATATATATAAATAATAGTCGAATACATTTATTTTCAATATTTGGGACATTATAGTCTAAAATGTATCCATATACACATAGATAGGTACGCTCTTTTACGTACATACATATATATACATATATTATATTTGCATCTCTGTATCTGTCTGCTTTTGCTCCGTTGCTGCCGCCAACTTGTCTGTTACGATTCGACCACAAAATAATATGGCACACAAATACAAGGTTGCTTAGTGTGGGTTTTCTTTTTGCTTAGCTCAAAAACGCTTAAGACAATGAAAACAAAGCATAAAACAACAAAATAAACGTTATTTCCGATTCTACCGAAGCTATAATACCCTTCACAAATACCAAGGTTCCTTACATTAACTTGATTCTGATCGTTCAATTTGTACTGCAGCTATATGCTATAGTGGTCCGATATGACCAGCTTCTTTGTGAGTAAAGAACAGGTGCAAAGTTTCATATATATACATACAGACGGACATTGCTAAATCAACTCAGCTTATCATGTTGATCATTTATGTATGTATTATATAGGGTCTCCGACGTTTCCTTCTGCGTGTTACAAACTTAACATATCCTGTTTAGGGTATAAATATCAAAAGGATTACATATGTATGGAAGTTCATTACATAAAATGTACATATGTATGTTTCTAGGTAGACCATACAAATATACAGTTTTTTATTTCTCACCAAGAAGCTGCTCATTTGACGAAATGGCTGATATCGGACTACTATAGCATATAGCTGCCATACAAAGTGCTTGTATGGAAAACTCTTTTATTTGACGAGGTATCTTCACGAAATTTAGCATGGATTATTATTTAAGGCAATAATGTAATCTCCGAAGAAATTGTTCAGATCAGATCACTATATCATATAGCTGCCACACAAACTGAACGATCGGAATCAAGTTTTTGTAAGGGACCTTTGTATTTGTGTAGGGCATTATAGCTTCGGTGGCAACCGAAGTTTCTTGCTTTGTTTTCAATTTTACACCCGTAAGTTTGTCTGGTCACCACGTGATGATTGTTATTTGCG